ATAGGTGGCTGGTCCAGCAGTGGGGGGCTGAGGTAACATCCATGGGTTTGTGGGGCAGTCTCTTTGCATGTGTCCAACTTGTCCACATCCCCAGCATTGGAGTCTCCCACGCTGTTGTCCCATGTCTGGACCTGCCTGGGGCATCTGCTGGTATTGGCCTTGAGGGGGCCTTCTTGGGGCTCCTTGTGTGCCCCTCCATCTTCCCCGCATGGGTGGCCCCCCTCATCCCCTTCCGAACGTTGCTTGTTGGGGACCTCCTCCTTGGTTCAGATGCACATGACTAGGAGGGACTGGTTGAGGTTGGGTCTGCTGTGGCAGGGCTCCTCCCACAGGTGGTGCTACTGGATATTGCATCTGCTGTGTGGGCGGAGGGATGACAGGTGACACCACCGGTGCTTGTACAACTGCCTCTCCTGTTGGTGCACTCTCCGCTGGAGGTGTGGCTGCCACAGTCAGCGCTGCTTGATGTTTGGGTTTTTCTTTGTCTTTCTTTGCTTTGGACAATTCCCCAATCTGTAGCTGGGTTAATTTGGTGGCCAACATCTTGCTTTGTTCCTCAAAGGCCCGTTTTTCGGCCCGATACATGTTTACATAATGTATAACATGCTCAGAGAACAGTGGCCAGTCCATCTTCATGAGCCCCACAACTCCATCCAGTTTGGCTTGTACTTCTTTGGGCATGGCCTCTCTGATGTAGGTTCTGAACAGGGGGCCAGATGTCTTCAGTTCTTTCCCATCACTTCCAGTCTCTGTTTTCCATTTCTGTTGGAACCTGTGCAGAAACTGGGCTGGGCTCTCATCGTCCTTCAGGCATTCTTGTCTCAGCTTAGTTGGATCACTGCAGGTGGGGTATTTGTCTCTCAAGGCTGCCCACACCTTGGGTCTTACTTTGTTGAATGGTATTTTGTCATACCGGTGTGAGGTCATGACCCCTGGAAGCTCGGCTTCATCAAACACCTCTCTGGCTGCTGAGTGTCCTGCTGTTTTGATCAGCAGCGCCTTGATGTCTCCAGCGGCCAGATTGATGCCTCCAGTGATCTCCTCCAGCCTTTCTATCCACCTGTCAGCACCATCTGCCAATGGGGTCAGTCTTCCAGCAAGTGTGATCATGTCCATGAATGACCATGGTACATATCTGTCTTCTTGAGGTCCTTTAGACAGCAAGGGAGCCATATGGACCTCACTTAGCTCTTGCTCTGGTTCCAGCTGTCTTGTTTGGGACCTGGTCTGCATGGCGTGTGTGTCTCTTCGTACTATTTGCAGATCCACATCACACTCAGCTGCGAGAGGCTCCTTTACACCTGCCCTTGGCCTACTCCTTTTCTTGGACCACTTATCTAATGGATGCTTTGGCGATATTAAATCTGGGCCTTCATCCTGCGCCACAACGTTTTCCCAATCTGTTACATCACTCTCCATCGTGCTTTCCTCCTCCTTCCTTGCTTTGTCCATTAGGAACTCAGTCTGTGGACATGGTGGGTCTGGGCAATCATTTTTCGCTGCTATCATTAGCTGTTCTTCTTCCATTCTCCTCACTTTTTCTAATTCTTCGTCTCGCCTTTTCTTCTCCTCCTTCTGTCTCTTTATTGTCTCTTTTAACTCCTTCTGTTGCCTCATCTGCGTTTCTTTCCACTCTTTCCCCCAGTCAAGGAGTTGTGATCGTGTCTCCCTTAGTTCCATCACCTCCTTATCTATTAGTTTCTTCAGTGGCTCCGATTCATCTAAGACTAACTTGGTCCTGGGTTTTGAGGGGCTTGTGAGGCTTCTACGCTGTGGTGTGCGTTTGCGACATACTGAGGATCAGGTGCGGACAATGGAAGATTTTTTCCTTACTTCTGGGGTTCTTTTTATCTCCTCATTCTCACTGCTGCATTCATACTCGTCCTGCTGTGTCGCTCATTTCTTTTTCTGTTTCTTCCTCATCTTCTTCCAACACTAATTTAAGTTGCCCTGTAATCTTTCCCTTGCTACCTGGCTCTATCACTACGCGGTACTGGCCTACTGCACTAGGGTGATATGGTGGTGGCTTATGATCTATGTAGTCAGGGGCTGTTGGACTCTTATGGTGTTCCATTTTAAAATACCGCAAGATGTCACTCTGTTCAGCATACTTCTGTTTTTTATGCAAATGCAATCGGTCACGCTTTTTATCCTTTTCCCACAATTTGGCATCTACTTCATCACAGCAAGAAGGATCAAATCTGCCCTCTTTAGGCCAGCGATTCTTTCCAGATGTTATCTTGTGCCATTCTGTCATGCATTTTTGAATTTTGCGTTTATTGGAAGGATGTGTCATTATAACCAATTTGGCAGGCGTCAATTCTGCAGACTGTTTGCTCCCATTGGCTCCCATGGCAATCAGCAATCACTCAACCTTTAGGGTATATGCTTATTTACCAACCTTTATAATTTCAATTTAATTTTACTTTAACCGGCTCTGCTCTTTCCAATACAGATTGTGTTTTACCTTTTATTAGTTTTCTTATGGCCCAATTGTTCTTCTTTTTTATTATTTAGATTTTTCAAATTCAAATTTTTAGAGTTTTTATAGATAATAGTACTTAGTAACTAAGAATAGTAACTCTATAATTTATATAATATGATTTATAATATCAATATTTATCATGTAATTATATATTCAATTTTTGCAATCTTTATTTCGGGACCTTGTTAATTTATTTTTATTCTTTTAACCATGTGCTTTCCAATTCAATTTATAGTTCTCAATTCTTTAAATTTTTGGGTTATATCTTTTAACTATATTTTGTAATAACAATTTCTATTAATTTATTATTATATCTTAATGTTTTATCAATATTATAATCTTTTATTTATTATTACTAATCTTTACCCCCTATCTCCCTTGGTAATAACTCTTTCACTCTTCACACAGACAAAGACACACCAAACAAACGATTATATATTTTACAGTGCACTTCTACTCTTCCTCACTGTCTTCCACAGTGGCATACGCGTTTTCCCTGCTGTCCGGATCTACTCAGATAACTGAAAATAGATAACGTTCCCGGTAGAGCTGTACTATTTCTCCGATTATCGCTTAATCGGTAATACTCTGGCTATCCCTTAGCCTGGCTATCGCTTAGCCTCTTAATACCTTAATACACAACACAAGCTATTTCATGGAGCATGCCAACTATCTTAATCACCAATACCCTCACGTAACAGTCGTACTTTAATGTTCCGGATCTATGGCTTCCACAGACTATGTCAAACGCTTTGACCAATCTGTCCCTTTACCACTTGTCCGCTCAGAACATCATCTGTTAAGCTTGACTTATTCACAAAATTATTCCAACACAGAACAGTTCAAATACAGATTAATATAAACATCAACTAATACTTAAACCATGCATTCACATATACTCATACATACCTGGACCTTTTTTCTCAGCTTAGTCTGCCTTTATATGTTCTTATATAAATTCTTATCAAATTTGGAAATTACTTTATTAAATTTGGAAAACTAGATTCTTTTAGGTGAGCTTTATGACGCCTGACACCCACAAGCAGTCGCCGGAGGCTGGTTCCCCACTAATTTAGAAAATTATAACGGATTGACTCACCTTCAATGGTGAATTTTGGGCCCTTGGGGTTCCACGCCTTCCAACTGGTGCCTGCAGATCGTCCGGCGCCACCTCCTGGCTGGCTCGCCAATTATGTTGTGTATGTTCTCTTCCCAACGATTTTAAAAATTGGGGCTAGGTTTTATAAAAATTCAAAGTTCTTAATAAGCAGAAAAGTCGTCAAACAAAGATCCAAAAATCAGGCAGGAGCAGCTGAGTCCAAGTCCAGAGTGCTTTATTGCAAGACACACCACATCCACACTGAGCTGGTCACCGGTGAACAACTGACAATCTGGTGAAGCAGCTTCCGTTTTATACATTCAGGGCTGTTTGGGCTCCACCCCCAAGCCCCTCCTTTCTTTTCACCATTTTAGATGCATTTTCTTCGGTTAAGTCCAATTATTTTTATTCTACCGGGGGGAAGTCCTTTTCAAAACATATTTTTTATATATTTATTCAAAAAACCCTTTATTACAGATCATGGTTACATTTCCAATAGGTCATGATAACATATATTGCCCTTAATACATCACAGTCTTTATTATTAATATTTCAGAGGAGAACACAGTCTTAGTTATTAATGTTTTGAACCAAAGTTCTCTTTCAGTGAGTCATGAGTATAACTTTCACATCAAACTAGGGTGCTTAAAGTTTCAGTAAAACATAACATTGACTGTACCCAGTACTGCTCGGTGTGTGTGTTAAAGACAACAACTCCATTTATCACAATTAGTTTAACTAAGCTGTGCACTTCTGCACTACTGCATCTCAAACAGGCCTTACTCTGCCTTTCTGCAGCTTCTGAGGCATTAATGATCTTTGGCTCAGCAATCTGCATTTTCCTAACTTAGCCTTTCCTTCGACGCTGTGCTCAGAATTTTTCCCCTTCATTAAAAGCCTACATCTGCAAGGCTACACTCAGAATTCTTTCCACTTAATTAAAAAGCCTTATCTGTAAAGCTGTACTCAGATCTGTATGTGCAGGGTCTCTCACACACACAGCTCAGAATTTTCCATGCTGATGAACAAACTGTTAGACCTTTAAACTAAGACCTCTATTCAATGTGAAAGACATGTATATATTTTAATCATTGGTGCACACTAATTCACTACACAGGCTAATAATGGAACCAAACGACCTGCTCATCGGTTCCCATTTGCATGTTTCCAAGCGATTCAAGGCCTTGTCTATATATAGTCTCAAACTCACTGCGGATCCAGACATTTGAATTGAGAAAGCTTCCTGGAGATGTGGCGAAACGTCTTCAAATCTTGGAAACCAAGTCCAGTGGATATTTATTTTTACTTTTATGGAATGACTATGACCTGGATGACTGAGAATCTTCATCAGCAGACAGTTTGAATGTTTCCAAGGAGAACATTGGTGACTGTAGGTTATCCTCCCTGTCTCCTCAGGCTGAGTTACTGCAACCTCTCAGAGAGAAGCTGTGCGGCTCTGTCTTCAGTTCTCAGCTCCCAGTCCTCCAGTCTCAGAGAACTGGACCTGAGTAACAACAACCTGAAGGATTCAGGAGTGAAGCTTCTATCTGCTGGATTGAAGAGTCCAAACTGCAAACTGGAAACTCTCAGGTAAATTTTCTCTATGGTGTTGAAATTAGGTGTGTAAATAATAATCGTTTTATATCGATGCATCGATCCAACAGCCGACGATCCGATGCATCGATACGTCTGCAAGAGAATCGATTCATGTTTTTTTTTCCTCCGGTCTAATTTTATCCATTTGCTCCTGGGCGTAATTCTCCCTCCCGTGCTGCGGTGGCGCTAAACCTATTTGACCCTCCTACCTCGCTTCCTGGTTATACTCTTACAGCAGTGTGTTGCAGTGAGCTTGATGCAGACGTTTTTGATTTATGCTCAATATTGAAGCGTGTTCTGTGCTACACGCTGAGGGTCTAGATACGGCCGAGGCGGCGAGGAAGTGGGGGTGAGTTTAGTCCGACGACGCAGGGACATGAGGGCCAAAAAGAGCGGAGATCCAGGTGGAAAAAGGGTCACAGCGTTCTCGCGCACCTCGCTCTTCTAGCGGGTCAAACTTCACGAGTTGTTTTCCACAATTTCGGTCATAAAAACAAAACAAGCCGGCCTCCTGTCTGCGGCACTGTTTGCAGTCAGCTACTATTTGGGAGAGGAGCAGCGGAGCGTCTCTCAAGGGGGCGGGAAGTCTGGAGCCGAGGTATTGCATTGAACTCATTGCACTGATTTTCTGCAGTATTTTTGCAGTATTTTTTTATGCAACTTTTCTACTTCTGTTATTTGCTGTTGTTTCTAAAAAAGAATGTATAACGATATTACAGCTTTCATTGATTTATTTCAAACTTGAAACTTTGTTTAGCCTGTAAGGTGTAAAAAAAATAAATAAATAAAAAATTAACCGATTAATCGATTAATCGAATTGAATCAAATCGAATCGTGTCGTATTCTTGAGTATCGAAAATAATCGAATCGTTGGGTCAGGAAATCGATACTGAATTGAATCGCCATGATGGATGTGATTTACACCCCTAGTTGAAACCAGATTTCTGTCCATTAGCTGCTATCAGCAATACATTAAATGTTATTTCAAAATCCTTTTTTTTGTTTGTTTTTGTTGACCTTTATTCCCCATGAATCCAAAACGCTGCTTTATTCCTCATCTCAGCTTCATCCATTGCCTCCATTTGTGAAATTAAACCTCTCTAAACACCAGAAACATGATTCTACTGGGACCACAAATCTATCTTAAGTCCAATTTGCATAAAACTAAAAAGTCAGCCCCTTCTGCAAAGTTTCTGCCGGTTTGCAGTTTCCATCCAAATGGAGCTCTGGTCAGGATCCATCTGTTTAAATCTGCCAAATGTACATTTATGTTTCCTAAAAAACAAAATAAACACACTTTTTTGTAATTATGTAATTTATTTAAGGCAGCACTGTGTAGGTGTTGACCCTTTGTAAGTATTGGCTTAACTTGAAATATATTAAATATTTGTGGGTCAATGCTAATGCATGTAATAACTATTGATGCTCGAAAACCCATCTTTGTTATTTGCGATGGTCATATGGTCCTTTTAATAGGTCATGTGATCCAGAACACCACTTTTCAGCAGTCTGAGCTGAACTGAACCATCATGGCTAAACCTAGAAAGATTTGTTGGGCAACCAAGCAGATCTAGCCCTTGCCTGATGGACATATTTTTGGTTCTCTGACGTAGGAATTAATCTGTAGGGATACATTTTACTTTTCTTAACCAGGCACTTCATGACTACTCAATTTGCTGGTCCAAATTAGTTTGCTATCAGAAGAAGAACACAGAGGGACCCTGGATTATTTAGCAACTGTGCATTGTTTTATAGTCATTTTCAGGGGAGATAAACGTGGAAGATTATAGGTCTAGCACCTCTGGGGGATAAAACTCACTCAGTGTTACTTTAACAAGTTAAGCTGCAGTCTATTTTCTTTCTGAAAATGTTAATTTCAGAACTTTGATACTTCCTCAACTTTAACATGTTCTCATTTGTTAAATTGTGTTCCTGCAGGTTGTCAGGCTGTCTTATCTCAGAGGAAGGCTGTGCTTCTCTGGCCTCAGCTCTAAGCTCCAACCCCTCCTATCTGAAAGAGTTGGACCTGAGCTACAATAATCCAGGAGGAGGAACAAGGAAGCTGCTGTCGGCAGGACTAAAGGATCAAGAATGGAGCCTAGAAGATCTCAGGTATGGAGGAACCTGCTGTAGAAGGTTTGATAGGAGGAAGAGGAGAATTGTCTTCTCTAAGATTCAGTCCATTTGACAAAAAATGGGCTCATTTTTTGTTTTGTTTTTTTCATCTTAAAGCATGTATGTATGAAATGCTGTTTATGAAATTTAACTGACTCTGGACCGACCTTTGACAGACCACATCCCCAAAGTGTAGAAAAGCTCGAGACACCCCTGCAATGGTCAATAGGTTTAAGTGATTAAAATGTGTCCCAAGGTTGATGTATCAATAGGTTTGGCTATAGTCAACCTTAAAAGTCCTCAAAAATAGAATTAGAACCACACTCAGACCTGTCCTTTTTTCCAGCGGAAAACCCATCAAATTTTAGATGACTCAGTAAGTGCATTGTTCACACTTCACGCTAAAGTGTAGCATGCATTTTATTAGCAAGCTCTCTGGTAGAGGATGGCAGCAATATTAAAGCAAAAACAAATCCATTCATCCACCCTGGTCCACTTATCCAGGGTTGGGTCACGGGGGTAGCAGCTTCAGTAGGGAGGCCTAGAGGTCCCAATTTCCAGCTATTTGGGCCAGCTCCTCCAGGGGAATTCCAAGGTCAGGTGGGAAACATTGTCCCCCCAGCACGTCCTGGGTCTCTGAAACTTTAAATTACCTTTTGGCATTACGTGTTACTTACCTATTACATCTAACTTTTGTGTTTCTTCGTTATCTACTTTTCCAGCAAATAATTTGTCCAACAACCCTTGACCTTTAGGTCACTGGATATGTGCAAGCCGCTTTCCCCCAACATCCTCATTTTAAGTAACTTAAAAAATCACGTTTCGATTCTTTGATCTGCAGCAAACAGTTTTAAATTCCTTTCCTCACTGTGTCTACCTCTCAGCAACCTTTTATGATTGCATTTTGATTCATCATAAGACAACCGATATGAAGAGATTATGTTATTCTTCTAGTCACCTCATCCTGACCTTGTATTGTGGTGGCTTTCAACGGTAGAATCTCAAAAATCAGGACGCCTTCAGTCGATCATCTGATTGCCCCAGGACGGGAGAAGAAGCATTTATTTCAAAGATCAAATTGACATGCTGTCCACTTATCGAGCGCTGAACATTCCAACAGAACACATCTGGCTTTTCTCAACTCTCATTCAAATCTGGGCGTTTATATAGTTTCAACATTGCACTGTGTGGATGTATGTGCACGACTGGACGCTCTGAAGAACTTCCTGGAAGTTCTTGGCCTGTGACCCGATTGCGTGCGAGTGGGCCTTAAAGACCCTGTTTTTGCCAAGACTTGTACGTGACTTCCAGCCTGTGAACACCCCTGTTTTATCAATTATTGTGAGCTTAAGGTCACAATAACATAATGCAACACAATTTGCTTCTATAGTATGACCTGTAGCAAATAGTCAAACCTTTACCTTCATTTCATGTATAAATTCTTGAATTGACAGGGTTGAATTTTCTCTACTTTAACAGTAATAACCTTTATCAATATAAGACGCTTAAAATATAGGATTACATTTTCATTTACCTCCTCTTATTCAGGCATCTATTTTTCAAGCAAACAATTTGTACAGAAAGAAAACATCCTTAACTCGTAACTGTAAATTGGGCACATTCAGTAGAAAAAGGAGAAGTTACACCAGAGCTCAGACTGGGCCAGTTGCAATAATGCTCTTTTGATATCTGATGTCTAATCAGCCTTAACATAAACCAAAGATGAATTTTAATGTAAAATGATTTAACATTTACTCAGGTTCTGGAAGAAGTCTCCCCCATATACTCTTTCTGCCTTGATTCCACCCACTGAACCGCAGGTTTAATACTCAGAAAAATGACTTTTATTGTTTTAATCAGATCAAGGATAATGCTAGAGCAAATTCCACAACCAGGTCAGATGACAGTAGGCAGAGATCATTACCCTGTTATCTGGAACATTCTCCTCACTAAGAATGGTTCAAAGGAAAATGATCAAAAATTTGTGGATGTTTCCAACAAGTAGACATGTCCAAATGTTGGTTTGTTCATTTCTCAGTGTGTGTCTCAGAGATGTATGTCCATATCTGCAAGCTGGCAGATACTGATGATCTGACCTACTTCCTCCTTTCAGGGTGGAGCCTGCTGGAGAACGATGGTTAAAACCAGGTCTGAGGAAGTGTAAGTTAGTTTTTCATTGGATTCATGACAACAAAGTAACAGAAAATCAACCATCTTCAAACTATCCATCAATCACTCAGGATTCTTCTTCAACGATTCAATAAATGATCAATAACTGCAGCTGGATTATGTTTGTCTCTCCTTCAGATTCCCGTCACCTCAGGATTGACACAAAGACAGTAAACAGAAACCTGATACTGTCTGAAGACAACAGGAAGGTGGAACTCGTTGAGGACGAGGATGAGTCCGATCATGATCATTCAGACAGATTTGATAAACCTAAGCTGCTGTGTAAGGATGATCTGACTGGTCGCTGTTACTGGGAGGTAGAGTGGAAAGGAGATATTGAGATATCAGTGAGTTGCAGAAAAATCAGAAGGAGAGCAGAAAGTGATGACTGTAGGTTTGGATGGAATAATCAGTCCTGGAGTCTGAGATGCTCTGATGATGATGATGGAGGTGGTTATTCTGTCTGGCACAATAACATAGAAACGTCTATTTCCTCCTCCTCCACTTCCTCCTCTGTCTCTAACAGAGTAGGAGTCTATGTGGACTGTCCTGCTGGCATTCTGTCCTTCTACAGAGTCTCCGTAAACTCACTGATCCACCTCCACACCTTCAACACCAAATTCACTGAACATCTGTATCCTGGGTTTGGGTTCTGGTGGTCCGACTCTGGTTCCTCAGTTACTTTGTGCTGACTTTAATCTAAAGAGTCTCCTGCTTTCAGAGAAAATCTCTCCCTGTTGAACAGATAGTTCTGTTTTTCTATCTCTGCCTGTTTCCCTCAGAAACATATTTTCTATTCAGTTTATTTCTATAGCTCCAATTCACATCATGTCATCTCAGGTCACTTTCCAGTTCACCAGATCATCCAGTCAGATTGATTCAAAGTTTTCTATCTAAGGAAAACCAGCTGATTGCATCGACTCGATTACTCTTCAGCAATCCCTCACATTTTCAGATTAATGGATTCAGTCTTTCTCACCAAAACTCTTCTGAATGTTTAATTGGAAACTTATTACTATTCCAGTCCTATAAAGATAGAATCTGAGATTATTCCAGAATCCAAATGTTGTTTTTCTGCCTCTTTCCATTCAAAACATTATTCTGAATATCTAATTATTATGTTTCTATGTTGTTGTTTTTTTCTTTCCTTCCTGAATCAGCTTTAATTAAAATGTTGAGCAGTTTTTCAAAATTACTGGAAATAATCTGTGTTTCTGTTTCTTTAAACAAAAGATTGAAATGTTTAATCTTCCTTCTGTATATTTGCTGCAGTTTTACCTCATATGTATCAGTGTGTAATAAACAGATTTTTCTTCTTTTGGAGTTGATTATTTGGGATCTGTTCCTTAATTTAATTTTTAATGTTTTAATAAAAGTGGCTTGTTTCAATAAAACTTTTTTTTTCAAACAGAGAGGTTCTGTTTGAATAATCATATCTGCAGGTCTAAAAATGATCAGGTCTGAGTTTGGCTGAGAAACTGAGCACAGCTTTCTAAACAAATGTAGTTGGTTGATTACTATATCACAGGTTTAGGTTGGTTGGCAAATTTTCTGCATTAATGAGTTAAAGTTTTTTCCTTTGAGAACTGCATTTTGTGTTTATTTAGGTTCTTTTTAATCCAATAGTAAAACCGTTTTATTTATCCAAAACGTTTGAATCACCAAGATAAGAATCAGAGGCATCAGATTATTATTAGTAGTATTTTTTTTTTTTTCAAACAGTGTCCTGTCTGGCGATGTGGCAATAAGAATAATTGTCTTGATGCTAAAAAGAGACCAACAGATTTTACTTTTACAAGTGGAGCAGTATGGCTATTGCCAGAGTGTTGATTTATGCATATAAATTGCTTTATTATAATTATGCAGGGAGTTTTACAGATTATATGGACACTGCAATGTAAGTAGAACAGGAAATGAAAAACAGAAAAAAGGAGAAAAGATGAAAGAAAGGAGATAAAAGGGAGATAATGATAAAACATTTTCAGTCTGCTTCATCACCAGCAAAGAGATGGTAAAAGAACAGCAGAACCAACAGGCATGGTACGAGATATACAATAACGTAACACCTAGATACTATTGTATAAGTAGTATTATTTAATCTGACATCTACTCTGTGTTACCTGAAGATAAGAGTGTGGGCTTTCTGTATGTAAGTTGTCGAGTTAAAAAAATACGAGCGCTGATAGTTGATATTATAGGAAGAAAGGTTTTATTTTACTCTGCAGAGGAGAACACACAACCAGCCTAAATGCAGTTCAGTGATGTTCTGAGGCTGCAACATTCTCACCCTACATAAAAAGGGGACTACACACACACATTTAGCTCTTCAAAGGACAGAGATAACAATTGTTTCCCGTTCACACCAGGACGTGAGAATCCTGACTTCCTTTCAAACCTCCTTCCACTTACAAACAGGCCAAACAAAAATACCATTCCACAAAGTGAATCTTTGAGTACCTGGAACCAAGCACCTGTAGTTGTTTGTGAGAGTTCACTTGTGCATGTAAAGCATGTAGAGTCCAGCACCGGGAGACCCAAAGCCCTAGAGACCCAAAGGGACCCCAAGAGCGAAGGCGCCAAGGAGGGGCCAAACAAATTGGATAATCACTTGGGATCAGCTCAATGTAGTCCATGCTAATTACTACAACTGGAGCTGTACCTCTTGGTGCCTGTCCTCACTTAGTTATCTGATTTCCTTGTGAATTGTATTTACAACAGGTGAGACATGCAAAAAAATGTAAAAGCAGTAGTAGTTACACAGCTGTGTGTGTTACTATACTATATTCATCATAACTCCCCCGTTTCAGACATGATAATTTTATGTATCAAAATAGCTGCTGTTTTTAATCAGAATCAGAATCAGAAATACTTTAATAATCCCAGAGGGAAATTAATTTTGTAACACACTCAAGTTACAGTTTTCTCTTTATATACACACATCCAACTACACAATATAATAAAGACAAAAAATACGAATATGGGGGAACTGTTGTTTACACGGGTCTCCTTTAACCCTTAAAAGTAAGACACTACAGGTAAGAGCGTATCACCATGAGAATGTAACAACACAAAGGTCATATAACTTGCTTAACCACCAACTGTTTGGATGCACGGTTTTGATAAGTTTACAAAGCTAAGACAGTTGCTGAGAAAAGTTCTACATTCAGCTTTGTGAATTGCTGTCTGCTTCTCTGTCATAGCTATCAGTGTGTCATAAAAAAAAAACTTAAGAAAAGCTGAGTTTTTTTTCATAATGTGGAATCTAAGCCCTGCAGTCATTGTACAATTCTAAAAAGCATTCTTGTAGCTTTTTACCTTCTTCTTAAATAACATGGTCCAAACAACAAACTTATTTCTGCACCCGCTAAAAATGTATAACTAGTTTATACTTTCCTTTGCTTCACATTTTAGCAGATATTGTTCTATCCTTGGCCTGTATTAGGATCTATTTCAACTAAATCTATAGTTGTCAACAGTCTTACATCAATTCTTCTTGTAGATCACAAAGCATTTGGAATATCTTTGAAATCATTTTCATCAAATTGTGATAGAAAAGAATGCTGAGTTATGTTAACACATGCTAAATCTTGAACCTGGGGTTTTACATTGAACAGAATTTTATAAGGCTGTTTCCATAGTTCTGTGTTAGGGCTGGTTTGTGTGGTGCGGACATAGATAGAAATCAGATGCGCCTTCTGCAGCTTCTAAACGCAGGCCTGTGTCTCTCCACTGTGCTTCAGTGGTCTTAACCAATGACAAATGATGTACCCATGATAAGCGATACATTCCTTACATCTGTGTAGAAAGCATAACAGTAACTGCTGCTAAGAACCCCCATCTATGTACATAATTTGTGTAGCCATTACAGTAATGTCTTGTTTCAGAAACTGTTTTGCAAACTTTTCATCTGGGGTTAAGCACAAATTCAAAGTGTTCTACTGTTCAACTAAAAGAGTTTCATCCTGTGGATCTGACAATGTGCTTCTAGCATAGTGCATATAGACACAAGTAGATGTTGTTGAAAAGCTATTCATATGTTCTCTACATTCAGCCTTCATGCCCCCTGTTTGGGAGAAATTGCTTAATTTTCCCATTAATTCCCATCCTAACAAATGAATGTGGTGAGTTGGTGACATTACTACAGAAACATGCAAACTTGCAATCTTTTTCCTAATCCTTTTAAATCCACTCCTGGGATGTTTGACTTTTTGCTGATTTTATAAAAATTTGCATTTTAGATGGTTTTATTCCTACATTATCTTTAATGTAAATTTTATAGGCTCCTGAATTGCATATAAGTCTAACTGCTTGTCTAATAATTGTTAGAACTATTCATGTTTTTTCCTTTAATGCATTTAATATCCCCCACGCTTAATTCACATCTACTATTTTAATGTCTCCCCCATTTGCTCAAACATCTATTAACACTCAGATGAAGAACTTCACCTGTGGACTCTTCCTTCCTGGTCTGCTTTTACTGGGCTGGGCTGAAAGCCCCCTTTGAAGTTCTAGAACTGCCCCTGCATCCTTGATGCCTTTTGAAATCTCACATGTTTATATTAGTGCAACAATCTCTGCAGTTTACACAGAATATGATGATTTTAAAGCAGCACTGCAAAGGGTTTTTTTTTTTTTTTAACTCATCTACAATTGTAAAAACAACTAATTTCTTTCTGGAAACTGACACATCCACATACAAATTTTATAACCCCTCCTATGGTTCATCTTTTCCCTTGGGTGGCTAGATCCAGGAAGTAAAATGTTTTCGGGGATGAGCCTGAATGTATCACATGTGTATCAGCTGCATCTCTGCATAACTTCCCCCTGCAGCATGCTCACCTTTTTACTAATACTTCTCTGTCTGTAGGCTCTACCACTAATTGCAATTTCCTTAACAAATCTCTGCCTAATAGATTAACTGGACAGTCTGGGTTTAACACAAAATCAGCTTCCACCGTGAATCCCTCTTCATCAGTGACCAATTGTTTTTCAGAAATGCGCTGAGCTTCCCTTTTTCCATCAGAAGAGACTACTGTGATCCATTTTAGTCCCAGTGTAACCTGAGGTATTGTATCCCTCAGAATAGATATATTGGTCCTGGTGTCACACAGGAATTTTACTTTTACCCCTTGAATGTTTAAATGCCAGTATGTTTCTTCTGATGTGTTTAAAAAAGAAAGGAAATTTTGCTGTAGTTCCAGGACCTCCACTGGGTCCACAATTAACTGCAATTTTTGCTGGTGCACAAAACGCGCAAAACCATAGATCAACGCTGCAGTCCTCGATCCATAGACATGCTCCCACGCTGCTGCAAATTCAAGCTGTCTTCCTCTAAACTGTTTCATTAGCTTTTGGACGCACAAACAACTTAAGAAAACCCACAAACATAACTTTAAAGACGGAACACATAACATTAAAACACGAACAAACACAACATTAGATCTATTTATTTAGTTTTTAATAATAACATATTTACTTTGCGCATGTATTATATCAACAACTCGCCATTTGGAGCTCATTTATTTATTTATATATTTATTTATCTATGTATTTATTTATATATATTTATTTATCTATTTTTTCACTAGTGCTTGTTTTAAGCCGGCACATAACATTTCTCCATTGATCTACTTCCACACACCATCTATTTCATACTTTTACTTCCACTACTACAAGTATTTTAAATTACTTGGATCAATCTGACACAAACGTTACATCCCCTTTATGATCTTCTCTATACTCTTCCCTGAACCCATCCTTTTTAATTCTTTTACCCCCCTGATTCACTTTAGTTCTATTATTTTATCTTGGAATAGAGGTGTCCCTCAAACCCATATTTTTTCCAAACTATATATTCAAGTGATTTTTTTTGTTGTTGAAACCTGCACTTCTACAAACTTCTAATCGTAGATTCTAAATTATCTCTAATTTATTTTGACCGTTACCCATTTTAAAGAATTTAGTCCAGTACAAACACCAAGGGTATTCTACGCACTGGATGTTTATTCAGCAGGACAGCACCCAAACACTGTTGTACTAATTTCTGCTTCTACCTTTTCAGGTGAGAAATCCTTGCCTCTGCATCCACAAGAGTTATACTGTATTATTTCCTGCTGTTTTAGTATGAAACAACGGAACCTGAAAGGTTCGATTGTTTCCTCACACACTTCACCGTCCGGCGAAGGGCGGACGGCTGTCGACAGTTTCTTGGCCTTGGTCCCGCACGGTCCTGGACTATTGGATCTTGACTCCCGGCTTTCGGCACCAAAAATGTTGGGTTTAAATCCAGAGAAATGTGAGTTTAAGAGGACGAAAT